CCTTTGATATTTTTGGATATTTTGAAGAATAATGTCATTTTTCGATGTTTCTTTTTTTAAATGTCAATTTTGACAGGTTAAGGAAATCACGTGACCTATTTTGTAGACGCCATTTGACATCATTTCTTAAGCAAAATCTACTGCCAAAATCAAATTTCACATAAAAAAAAAAATAAAAAAGTTTCCCATTTGATGCGGACTTTATCGGTGACACTGTAGAATCACAACCTTGACCACAATTTTTTTTGTTTTAATGCAATAATATCTCTGAGAATCCAGTACCAACTATTATGGAGTTGTACTATAGATCACTTTCTCTTGACATTTCGCCAACAAGTAAAACACACGTCCTGATGTCTGTAGTTCTGGTGGGTGAGTTGTTTCCACTGGATTTGAACTAGTGTTGTGAGATACAAACTCGTGAAATGATGCAAACTGGATTGATAATAAATTTGAGTTATCAGCATTCATTGTTCCGTACAAAGCATTTACTAACCTATCATTTTGAAAGTGCCATTTTCTAATAGTCCAATTCTATCAGCACGAATTAAAAACCTCAAGTGATGGGTGCATATTACTATTGTTTTATCTCTGAGTAACCCCATGATGCAGTGCTGAAAGATATGCTTTGCCACTTTGACATCAACAGCTGAGAGGATATCATCCAAAAGATAAACCGACTTATCTTGATAAACAGCTCGAGCTAACGCTACACGAGCTTTTTGACCTCCTGATAACGTGTTTCCACTGTCTCCAATACCTGAAACATCAAATATAACGAGTGATACATAACAAGATGTATAACGAGTGAAATATGAGATAGAATTGGCTGATACTTGATGAAAACCCATAACATATTCAAGGAACCCATTCTTGTTAGATTTTCACTGAATTGTTTACAGAACCAGAACACGTGTTCCATTATACAATAGCTTTCTTAGGCGTGTTCATACTGACTGAATTCTACCTAATTTGTGCCTTATATAATATTACAATTCGAATTATATTATCTTCTACCTACTTGAAAACAATAGTTTTACCAGAGTCAGAGTTAAAACTAATTAAAAACTCAAACATTATAACAGAAATATTACCAACACATTAAATAGATATGTAATAAACTAAACTAATTTACTCATTAGAAAACAGATTTAACGGAGGAAAAAAATTCGTAGTTGAATTCATATCCCTCTGCCAAAAGATGGTTTGCAGATGGAAAATTGCTCTTCATATTGAAGAAACTACTATGCTCTTTCATTCTTTCGGAAACGGTTCTTCCCGTCTGACCAATATAATGTTTTGGATAAGATCCACAAGTCAAATAATATACTCGTGACCCATCTAACATTGAAGTTTTGTCGTTATTGTTTCAAATAGGTTTGTTGAATTATATAGGGTCTTCCAACAGGAAATTCTGAACATGACGACAGCCATCTTGCTGAAGCTACATCTGTCAAGTTAGTTGTCATTTATTCAGTCTTGTTTTATAAAATCCTCATGGACAGATATAGTATTTACCAAAACGTGCAAATGATAAAATAGTTTTATCAAAATTAGTGTTCTCTTCGGGCAACGTACCGCGCGTTTCGTTAATTTAAGGTCGCCATAATCGTTCTACCGAGAGGAATATTCGCAATGTGGCGGATGTGGCCGTTGTCTGTGAGAGTGTACAGGAGAATCTGAGGCAGTCGATTTTGCGTCCCTCACAAGAACTCGGCCTTTCGCAGACCACAATTTGGCGAATTTTGCGTCGTGACCTGGGTCTGCACCCGCACAAAATTCAACGACCCAGGAACTGAAGATAAACGATCATAGCGATGAAGCCCATTTCTGGATGAACGGGTGCTTGAAAAAACAAAATTGTCGAATTTGGGACGATACCAATCCACATGAGATCCAAAAGTGTCCAATGCATCCTGAAAAATTCACTGTTTGGTGTGGATTTTGGGCTGGCGGCGTCATTGGTACATATTTCTTCGAGAACGAAGTAGGCCAGGCCATCATTCTCAACGGCGAGCACTATAGGTCGATGATTACCAACTTCTTTAGGCCTGAATTGCATGGCGCTACGTGCCATACAGCTCATGCCACATCGGATATTTTGCATAAGCGAATTGGCCACCGAGATCGTGCGATTTGGCCCTATTGGACTTTCTTTTGTGAGGTTTTTTTGAGTTGCAGTTTTATGTGAATAAGCCACAAACCACAGAGGTTCTCAAAGCCAACATAACCCATACCATCGGTCAAATTCAGCCGGATTTATGCGCCGGAGTCATCAACAGTACTTTCAAACGAATAAAAAATTTTGATATTTCACGCACGCCTTGTTTTATTTAATAATAATAATAATAAACAGCTTTATTTCATAGTAGATTACAATCTTTTATTGGTAGGTAAGGTAAAAGGTAGGTAAAGTAGAATGAAATGGCGTCAAACAAGAAGGTACAGATTTTTTGTTCTTGGTGGATTGAGTTTTATCTTCCTCTTGAAGATGATCACTTGGTGATCGAAACACGTGTCGAGGTGTAAAAATAACGATTTGGTGTTAAATAAAACAGATAAAACAGTTTTATCTTCCTCTTGAAGATGATCACTTGGTGATCGAAACACGTGTCGAGGTGTAAAAATAACGATTTGGTGTTGGGAAAAAAAACTCCAGTAATATTCATTACTACACCAAAGGTTCCAAACAGTACATCACAAATTATTGTACATATGTTTGTATTGGATATTATGTTGTGTCAACACCAAAAGGGTGTCTAACCTGCTCTTACAGTCCGTTATAATTTTACTGTTTATTTAAATTCTAAGGTAGGAAGCCACCAATGAAAGACTCTATATGAAGCACCTGAAAAAACTACTGTAAGACGAAACACATGTTTCGATTTTGTAAACTGTTACTTAAATGTTACTTAAACAAGTGAAATTTTGCAACCAGAATGTTTCTTTAAATATCAATGTTTTTTTAGCCTTGGGTAGATTTAAGGGTAAGTTTCCCTGTTGTATGTCGATGTAGTGTTTGCCACTTTAACGAGGTCTCTGGTAGATTCACAGATTCAGATGAATTATCAGCACTAGACTCAAAAAGACCAAACTTCCAAGGTTAACAGTCACAAGAAAAAACAGTTTTTCAAAAAATATCATTATATCGCTATAACTACAGCAATCAATATTTTGATAATGGAAAAAATGAATAATCCAGCTGAAGCATACCTGTCATATCACCAGCAGGAAGCATGTGAATATCATCGCTGAGACCACAAGCGAATAGGACTGCTTTATATTTGGTGTCATCGTAAGATCTTCCGAAGAGAATGTTTTCTCTAATGGTGCCCCTCTGAACCCAGGGTTGTTGAGTAACGAATCCAAATCCTCGAATACGAAAAGCATTCAATTTCATTCAGGATGAGGCAAACTATAGTACTCACCTGAGTCGATTTCTCTCACAGCAATACTTCCTGAATCCTTAGGCAGTTCTCCAAGCAGAGCAGACAGAAAAGTGGATTTGCCACTGCCAACTGGACCCACGATTCCGACAAACTCACCCTGAATACCAAAAGCCAAAGTAATGAATAAAAATGAATTATTGTTATACTGTTTGGCATAAACAATAAATATTTTGAAATTGAATCTCAACATGTTCATCTCTTGTGTACTTCCTAATACAGTGATATTTTTCAAACTACCGCCATCTGTAGGTCAGTCCAGGTACTTGTGGGACCACCCTCGTATGTATATACAGGGCTATTCAAATTCAAGTCTACACATGGTAATCTCGTAGGGTTTGATCACTTACACAACGGTGTACATTTTTTTTAATTTGGACGAACCATATTAAAGTTACTTACTTTATTCTCATATTAGCATATGCTCAAAATGGGCACCTCCAGCTTCCATGCAATAATAGAGATTTTGCTGGAAACGTTCTCGAACATTGTGGAGTATTTCTGGAGTGATTTGGCGACATTCATTTGTGATTCGTTGTCGTAAATCTTCTAGTGACGCAGGAGAAGTAGAGTAAATTCTGCTTTTCAAATGACCCCACAGAAAGAAATCTAACGGCGAAAGGTCTGGTGATCGAGGTGGCCATTCGGTAGTGCTCCGCCTCCCACTCCGGTGATCCGGAAAAATCTGATCTAAATACTGCCGAGCTGGCAGAGCATAGTGCGGAGGAGCTCCACCTTGTTGAAATATTTACAGATCCTCCCGATAATTGTGCTCATTTTCAGTAATATCAGTGGGAAGGGTATTAATAGTATCTTTCAGAAGCTCTAGATATATTTGTCCGGTTGAATTGCCTTCTAAAAACAATGGGCCAACAATACGGTCATCAAAAATTCCAGCCCATACATTTAATTTTTGTGGACGTTGAGTATGAACTTCATGAAAAATGTGAGGATTTGAATCAACCCAATCGCGACAATTAACTGTGCCATTCAGAAAAAAAAACATTCATCACTGAAGAAAATGTTGAAAACAAAATGTGGTTTTTGCACCGCTCGTTCACTTATCAACTCGCAAAATTGCAAGCGTCGATCGAAATCATCTTGATTCAGTTCTTGCGTTAATTTAAAATCTTGTAAGGATGCATTTTGTGGGTTTTTAAAATACGCCGAATGCTAGTTCGTGACACCCCGGAAACGAATGCTAACTTTCTTGTGCTCAAAGTATGGTCAAGCTCAACATGGCCCAGAATTGCCACTTATGTCGCCTCATTTGTTACTGGTGGTTCGATTTGCCGTTTTTTATTTGCTACAGATACAGTTACGCGAAATTTTACAATTACATCGAAAACATACTGTCGCGACACATTATTCCCATGTTGTTGATTGAACAGTTCAGCGGCTCTCGCAGCACAACGACTATTTTCATAGTACGGTTCAACCAACTCAACCCTCTCTGCAGTTGTGTAAACCATTGTTTCTTCAGCAACAATTTACGGCACTCACTACTAGTAATAATGTAGATATCACTTTTAACATAAAAATGAGAAACAAAAACAGCATTTTTAACCATTTCTCAATTGTAATAGTTCTCTTTTATCAGAGAAGAACTAATAAATTAACAAAAAAGTAGCGTAAGAAACAAATGAAAGAGTTCCAAATACATTCCAACTGAGCAGTGGCGTACAACAATTTGTTGCTATTAACAATATTGAAAAACTTGATTATCAGAAAGAATTCTTTTAAATACGTCCAAATTTTAAAAAACATACCTACACCATTGTTTAGAGAATTCCAAGATCTGACACCAAGATCTAAGAGAGACACTGCTTTCTCGGAAAGCAACAACTCAAAGAGTTGTTGTGGATAAAGTTATTTCATATGCTCTGCCCGTATTAAAAGAAGCGCCACAAGGATCTATCCTTGGGCCCTTGCTTTTTAGCTTGTATATTTGTGAGTTTTTTCTGTCCGTGAAAAAATGCAATATACATCACTATTCAGACAACACGCAGTTATATTTCTCTTTTCGCCTGGCGAGTCTACACCTGCTCTGTCGCATATTAATAACGATCTCCAAGCCATCTTTGACATTTCTACTGCCCATAAGCTCTAACTCAATTCAGACAAATCCGCAATAATGATGTTCGGAGCTAAGAAGAACAGAGTGCTCACCAACTCTACCTTTACAGTTCGCATCGAAAACGGTATACTTCCCTCCGTGGACGAGATAAAAAATTTAGGATTGTGGTTTGATCTGGATCTTAGCTTTACTAAACATGTCAGCTATCTGAACCAATCTTCTTATAACGTTTTCAGACATCTTTTTCCTAATCGTGAGTTGCTCAACACAAACTTAAAACTTAGACTATGCGAGTCTCTAATTATGTCAAAAATTTCCTATTGTAACAATATTTATGGACCTGCTTTAAAACAATTGGATGTTCTCCGACTACAGCGTATTCAGAATAGCTGTCTACGTTTCTCGTTTGGTATTCAGAAATATGACTATATATCCCCAGCAAAGCAAGAATCAGGATGGTTAAGTGTTGAGAAACTTAGAACTCTACACCTTCTTACCAACACGAAGAAGCTTAAAACATTCTCTACGATTAACAGTTTTACTACAAGGAACAGTTCAGTTCTTCATCCCCAAACACAAATCTTCCTTCTTCACCCGCTGCTTCTCGTATAATGCACCCAAATATTATAATCAACTACCCTGTGAATTTCGATCATACACCACCGTAAACTTTAAAAAAAGACTGAAGACTTATTTATCTCATTAGCCTCTTGTCCGTTCCCGACCTTGGCATTTCTAAAATGAATTTTCTAAAGTAAAGCAATAAGCCCAAGAGGCTGCAGTGTTTCCTGGAGACTTGGATTAAATGGACAAGTCAGACAGCTCCCAAGGTTAAAAAAAAAAGTAAAGCAATAACTGAAATTTTTTGATATTGTTAACTCGATTTGTGTTCATATTATTTATCTATAGTTTCTCCCAGGTTGAGTTGAAAAACAGCCTTGGCTGATACTCCGCCTATTCACCATATACTGGAAGTTTTTTTCTTTGTTTTTGTTCCTGTAGTCTGTTTTATTTTATTTTTGTCTATTCCATTTGTATTTTTATGGTGAATAAAGACGTATTATTATTATTATTATCTTTCAAACGATGTGCCACTCGCCCCCAGTTCCCTATTAAAATTCCAAGGGTTGTTCACCCCTCTGCTCCGGGGTTGAAGTGACGACGCTGTAAATGTGGAAAAAAACTGTCCCCCTCCCGATAAAAATCAACCTGTCTGAGCGTTTTTTCGGATTTGCAAGATTAGTACCCAAAACCTCCATGTCAAGTTTTCGATGGCCCACCCTGTATATTATTTAGTAAATTTATACTAATATTTATAAATGACTTCTTCAATTAATCAATTACTTTCTTCCGATATTGTATCCTCGAAAATTAACACAATAGTTTCCAGTTTTCGATTCAAATCGCGATGTACTCTGTATATCTGCTAATTGAAAATGTACACACCTTCTTGATCTTGATGTTTATGCCACTGAGTCTGAACACACGACTTTCATCAGTTCCTGTAGCCATCCCTTCCGAAACATTTCCTTTGTCCCTATAAAATGGAGATTTTTTTCCTTTGCCCTTCCCTTTGAGAGATTTTCCTTCATTGAAGGCGTGCAACTTCGTTTTTTCAGCAGGGCTCAACTCTTTCCGCCAACGAAAACTTCCATTTGAAATACAAAATTCAGAATTATCGTTTTGATGATCTGTCAGGTTGGATTCATAGTACTTTTCCAAGTCTAAATCCTGAAGCTGCGAAAAATTAAATAGACGGACATTATTGTTTTGATTTCAACAAAAACTACATGTACACTCACAGTTCAAACGATTTTTACTCACATCTAATAGTTTTTGTATTCTTTTTATGGACACCCATGCCTCCGTCATTCCATTCAACACCCACGGAAAAGCATTCAGAGGACTAATGAGCATGTTCAAAAGGGCCATGCTGGTGAAAACTGTAGCAGCTGTCAGTTGATTTCCCATCAGAACGTATGTGGAGAAGGTCAAAATAGAAATTATCACTGGCGTAGTTGCCCAAAAGTAGACACAGAGAGCATCAAGGTATTTTCGTCCTTTCAGATACTTTAATTCTTGATCTCTGACTCCTACGAAGAAAAAACAATCAATCGAGACACAAATCAGTACACTCATAAGATAACACAGGTGTACGTACAGTGCATACGAACCACCGCGCCATCTGTGTGATCGACAAAGAACTCAGAAATTATACTATACATAAATAAAAATTCTCTTGATAATTCTTTAAAATTTTATGAATAATTGGTGGTGGTAATTCTTCGAGATGCTAGTTAGTTGATATTGTATGGTGTTTGGATTTCACGAATTTTAAAGTGGAATGAAATGGTTCACATAAATATGTTGTTCCGACTATTGAAATAATTAGACAAGCAGCCCAATGGAATAAAACCTGTGACCCAAACCAATTCTGCAGTATTTGCTTTGAGCACGACCACAGCACTTTGTGTGTCGCCTCATCGCCTTTAATAATGCCCTCCGCAGTCGTAGAAGAAACGTCATGCGTTAAACCTGGAAAATAGCACACTCACCGCCGACCACGAGAGTTCATACTCTTTGAAAATCAATATTACTAGTAGGTGAATATTGAAAATAACAATGCTACATTACAAGAAACACTATCGCGAAGAATTATCACATGGATGACATTTCAAAAGTCACTTACTTGTTATTTGCCGGATAAAATGTTGTTCCCAAACGTACAGTTTGATGGCTTTTATACCCCTCAATACCTCAGTAATAATTTTAACTCTAGAATCTTTTTGTTCCATCAGTTTGGTGCTCAACTGACCGATTTTGTTGGCTATGACTTTGTTTATGGGAATTAGAATGACACTAAATACTAGTCCAGCAAGGAAGGCTAGACCAACTTGTGTGTATAATAAATATAAGGTGACACCAAGCTGAAAAAGATAAAGATAAATAATAGTAATCACCATTGGTTGAGTTGTACAAACAAATTATGTTCAATATTTTTTTTTGGGTAATTCAAGAAGGACAAGAACTCTTTACAAGAGTTTCTTTGATCTAGATTTAGGATACATCTCAGGATTCTTTTTTGAGTAACAAATATTTTTTGTGAGTATACTGAAGAACCCCAAAATATAATACCATATGAAATCAATGACTGCACATGTGCATTGTAATATGTTCTCAGGCTACAAACAGAGACTTGATCCCTTAAATATCGTATCCCTTAAGTATTTTAGTTCGATGTTCTTTAAAAGCGTGTTTTTTAGTGTTTTAAAACTATATCTATTTTTTACATTTTTGTTTCATATGCTATAAAAGCGTGTTTCTAAGTTTTTCAACTTTTAGTTTTTTATATTTTTCGATTTGTTGAAATATTTAAGTAACTGAATTTTTTAGGTGTACAATTCACATTGTTTTACATTTTCATTGTTGAAATCCATATTCTGGTTTGCTTTCAAATAATCGAATTAGATTTTGGAGTGGTTAGGTTAGGTTACGTGGTAGAACAAACCTGTAGTGTTCTACACAGCAGTTTTGAACTTCGCCTTTTTTATTTTGATTTTCTTTTGAACAACCTATCAAAGAGGTTACGTACAATACTATCTGCCCGCGAATAGATCAAGCAATAATTGATAGTTACGTGCAGCGCCATTCGCCCGCAAATAGATCAAGCAATAATTGATAGTTACGTACAACGCCATCTGCCTTCGAATAGATCAAGCAATAAGTGATAGTTACGTAAAACGTCATCTGCCCGCGAATAGATCAAGAAATAATTGAAAGTAACGTACAACGCCATCTGCCCGCGAATAGATCAAGCAATAAATGCTAGTTACATATAGCGACATCTGCCCGCGAATAGATCAAGAAATAATTGCTAGTTACGTACAGCGCCATCTGTCCGCAAATAGATGAAGCAATAATGTAGATAATTCTATCAAATACAGATTCCAAGCATTCAAACGGGAAAGAAGCGTTACAAACATACAGGTGAAGCTAATAAAAATACTTGAAGCACATCAAGTGGTGTTATGTTCAATATGTACACTCACCTGAAACGGAATGCTCCACAAAGCATGGAAGCTTGGACAAGAATTCACGATTCGATCGGTGTCAGTCGACATAAAATTGACTACTTCGCCGACTGATAGTTCCGATGTTAACAGAGTGGAACTAACTGACAAAGTTTTTTTGTATATTGTCGTGACTATGGCTCCGCGCATTCTCAAACCGATTATCCCCATGCGGAAGTTGAAATGACTATCACACAGTGCAGCTAAAACAAAAAATCAGGTTAGTAATAAGTTTTCTGTTTGAAATCTGTCTAAGATCAATTTTTTCGTTAACCACCTGCCGCTGCCTCATAAACGGCAACACTCAGAAGTCTAAACTTGAGCGATTTAGGAATTGAAGTCGTGCGATTCCTAGAATGAGTTCTACATACCTCTAGTTTTTTCATCGTAAGAGGTTCGTATTTCCAAAAAAAATGATGATGAAATCTAACGAATGATACGGAGCATTGCAAATTGGTTTACATCAGATTATAACAAATAAGAAACAATATTGAATACACATTTCTTGCTGAATTCATACCTATCGCAGTAGTTAGTACAAGCCCGGCAGCATAGACATATCCCCATTTAATATCTTCAGTCTTATCTTCGATGAACCCAACTAACTTGTTCAGTAGCATCGGTCCAGCAAATCCAGCGCAGTCTGCAATGAATTTCAAGATACCGATGCTATAAAATTCTAGCCAGAAACATTTGTGGAGGGCCTTCAGTAAAGTATAATTCTGTCTTCCGTTCGCTATTCTTACTTCCTCTGTAATAAATATTTTCATTGACAAATACATCATTTGGTATATTATTTGATAATATTCAAACATTCCAAAGTAAACATAGTGGTACTGCATGCTGTGTAACCTTTATAAGCTTTATTCAACTTGGTACATGAAAACATTAAATTAGGAAATAAATATCAGAACTTTTCAACAAACACTGAAAAACTATTTAATCCCAGGAGCATTTTATTTTTGTAGACAATATTTCTAAAAGGAACAAGGTTAGTTTTCTCTTTATGTATATAGCATCTTATATCATGAACATGGGCAAAAAAATCAAATGTAGCTCGTTATTCTATTTTACAATGGCAAGTTTTCATATTTTTGCAGTTTCCTCTCAAAAACGAGTTGTTTTTATTCTCTACCATTTCCTTTCGATACAATGAATATTTTCTCTAGTTAATATTCGGATTTTCAATCACATAATTATTAATAATTTACATATTTACGTAAAATATTACATTCACGTCAGAAGTTTCCATGAATATATGAAATTTCACATATTTTTGTTTTCATCATCACCCAAATAATTAGATTCTGTGCGCTACTGTCGGTGGAGGGAAAGTCACAGTCTATCGCCGGTCTGCTCTTTCTCCTAACCTAACCTAACCTAACCCACACGTCACAGTCTATCGCCGGTCTGCTCTTTCTCCTAACCTAACCTAACCCACACGTCACAGTCTATCGCCGGACTGCTCTTTCTTGTCTTCGGCATTAACAATTATTTTCAACTAGGGAGAATCAAAGCTTCACATTGCCGCCAACTATGTAACAGTAGAATCGACACACCTTTGACTAGAAAAATTCTCACAACAAAAATATCTGGTCATGAACACAATTGTGTTGGTACACTTGTGAAATATCACCACTACATATTTGAATTGTTCAGAATGAATCAAACGTACAGAATTTCAATAAAAGACTTCTATCGAATGAATCTACTGCTACCTTCATATATAAGGAAATTTGATATATAGCCTACTTTAGTGACAATACAGAACAACTCACCTGAATTATCCGCAACGAACTGATCCTCATTTTCAAGATATTTCGTTAATTTCCCACTAACATACCCACAATTCAAGGATATGGGTAAATCATACAAATCATCAACGTGAGTCAGTTTTCCTTCCACTCCTTTTGACATCAAAGGATTGACCCAAGAGAAAAAAAGTCGAGAAATCCAATGAGTATGTTCCATAGCGATTCCAAGGTAAGAGGGATCCCCTTCTTCCAGAAATCGTACGTAGGCATTGCTGTTTAAAGGTTGATTTTCGCCAATCTGAAATATGAGGAGGAAATATTATTGAAACTTACTAAACTGTAAGATCGTTCCTATAAAAGGTTTTCAAAACTATAACATATATTTCACTATTCAATAGCTTCCTTAAGAGGGAATGATGAATTCATTTCAAGTTACTATTTTACATTCTGAAATATCAGTTACCTAGATAATTTATTCAAAGCTATAGGTAGCTATATAGTGAGAGCAGATATAATTCTCAATTCATTGGGTCCTAGTCATACTTTCCAGAAGTTTTCAGCCTTTCTTCTGGAAAGAAAGCATTTTGAATTCATGCTTGAACCCATGTAAGAAGTTTTCTCTTTTCCATTCTGGGAACTTCTCTATGTTCTTTCAAGCGTGCTTTGAATATTCTTCCAGTTTGACCTACGTACAACATCGCACGTGACCCACACGAAATATAATTCAATAGTACCTAGAATCCCTGTTATGACATGTATACTCTATAAAAAAGTAGATACTTGACTTTAAATCATTTGGGAAACTTCAGACAATCACGGTTCCAACATCCACTCTCTAGGAAGTGGCTAGATGGATCAAGTGTAACTGCACATCTACTTCATAAAACCTGTTTCTAGTTGCTAACATTTGAGAAACTGCTCATATCATGACAGCTGTCAAATTATTGAGCTTATTTTTCTTATAGAATGGAAAACTTCGAGAAAACATTTTTTGTGGCCATGGTTACACAGATGAAATCTTCTGGGTAACCATGATGGTGGTTTGATGTATTAATGCCGTAATTCATTGTCCGTTCCTATGATTGAAAATCGATTCCAGCAGTTGTATCGCCAACAGCATATGGAAGAAATACTTCTGTGAAGTTTCCTGCACTGACACCTGTTGGATATAATTCAACACCCTTCGTGGTATTAGCCAGGGGAATAATTGTTTTGTGATAGGTGTCAGTCCACTAAACTACAGTGTAGGTAAGTCGAGACTGACCTGAATAAATTGTTCTTTTAGTTAATTTACTTGAAATGAATGAACCCAGTTGTTTGCTGAATGTATTACGTTTTGTCCGTTCAAATGACTCTATATTAAACTGTAATATCTCAGTGAATACTTATTCGATTCAACTCAACCTAATGTCAAGCAAGTAACGACCGCAGCTGCTCAGAAATAAATTTGAAAAAACTTGAACTCACCTCCGTATACTGCTCAGAAAAATTCAAATAGGTTGTATGTCCTTCTCCAGGAATCAATGTGGCGGCATATAAAATTTGAAGAATCAAATAAGCTATACTAAACCCGTAAGCAAGATTAATACTGTAGTTAAACTGGAAAGAATATTTGTATAGCAGATAATGGCTTCTGTTAGATACAACAGTCAGCGCGAAAATAAGAGACCAAATGATACACATGCTAATCGGACCTCGAGGACTCTTTCCGAGCCTCTTCTTCAAGCCCAGCAAATATATGAAATGAGTAAACCATGCTATGGCTTGCACAGCACTCTGGAAAAATGATATGATCTCCACTGCAGTACTACTTTTGTAAATCTCGATGTAATGTTGTACTACAGGTAAAAAGCTGAGTAGGAGAGATATTACGCATCTTATTTTGATTGCCCTTTTCTGCCACTTTCCTCTTGTTACGAAACCTTCCTGCCTACCAAAATAATATGATGAGAAGACGGCTAGCAGAATAAGGACTGGGATGTGGAGGCACAGTCTTTGGAAGCAAAGACCAAAGTCATGGCGCTGAATTGACCAGAGACTAAATCCTTCTTCTCCACAGAGGGTGTTCCAATTCCAGTTCACATAAAGGCTGCGGTTTCGCATTTTGGTTTGGAATCTGCAAGAAGAAAGCATTCGTTTGATAGAGTGGCCCAAATATGTTATAAAAAAATTGGAGTATTCCCAATAAACATTTTTATTTTTCAATGGACCTCTTCGACAATCATTTTCAAGTTGAAAGAATAATGACCTGATGAAATTTAAATTTTTATTTATACATTGCCGTGCATAAAATTAGGGTCACCTAATATGCATTTGGTAAAAAAAGTAAGGGCTTCAGTAACAGGTATTTCCTCCTCTTATAGTGATAACAGCTTGCAAACGGCAAGGCATGCTTTGGATCAGATTTTGAATTACTTAATGCGGAAGATTTTCCCATTCTCGTTCCAGTATGTTGCGTAGCTCTCTAGAATTTCTGGGAGCCGGCACATGTCTCTGTAAAAGTTTCTTAAGCCTATCCCAAACATGTTCAACGGGTTTGGATTCCGGACTGTCCGCAGGCCAAACTAATGTGTGAGTTGAACCTCGTCAAGATACTGAGTAACGACTCGGGCAAGAGAAATGAATCACATTATTTTGTTGATTCATCGTTTTAATAATCAAAGCACAAAATATCCAATTCCAGAAATCGAGAAGGATATGATAAGAGAACTCAAAACACTCCGAAATTTTACATGATTCTTGATTCTATCTCCAGAACTTTCACAAACCGAATACATTTGGTTCTCAATATTACAATTGTCTCATCTAGAGTGAGTCAGTGTCTAATACCTACTTCTTGTATTTTATAAATATTACTTGAAATTACTTGATAAAAAAAGGATACAGATAGCAGACCAAGGTCATATAAACTTACTTTTGAATGTTTTAGGGGTAACTTAAAAATACATCAAGTTAGTCTTGTGTCCACCCATTGTTAGTTCAACTGAAGTACAACTGCATTTTGTTTCACAAATCTTACAATCAACAATTTGAATAAAATAGGTTATATAAACAAAAACAGAGAACAGAGAGTATTCTGACGGATAAATAATATTTATTTACTGCAGTGTTGCCAGATGATATTTTCTTACTTCTCTAGACAATTCTAATAAACAAATCTTTGGATTTTTTCCTACCAAATGGCATTTGAGACCATTAATCTCACTGAAGTAGAGACGTTCTTCTTAAAATTGTAACTACAGTACTTTCATATTTAATTTGAGTACTCATGCATCTTTTTATTTGCAAAACTGATGTGAATAAACGAAAACAAGAAGAAGAGTGACATAAATTTGCAGGCTTGTACGAAAAGTGTAAGACAGAGTAACATTATTCACTTATTGGCTCAATTGTATTAATGAAAACGATGAAAGAATAACCAATGATTGTGTTGCATATCATGTGGGTGCATGAGAAACAGTCCACCATATTGTATTCAGAGTGATGAGACTGATTTTTTGCGTTCTTTTCAGAAAACTCTTTCATTTGATATCTGTATCATAGAGTGCCTAAAAACTAGTCCGTCAACTTGGGCGTTTCGCTATATTAGATTTAGAGTGAGGTCATATTATTTTTCGTAACCCTTTCAGCAGTCTCTCTCATTTGATACCCACACAAAATAACCAGTTTGTGCGCTCCGCTATATTGGATGATGAATGACATTATCCAACCTGATTTGAAATTTTTAGTAACCGAATTTCGTGACAATTTTTCTTTAGATTTCTCATAATATGAAGAGAAACTGTTTCAAGTTAAAATCTGAGGAAATTTTTTCACATCTGGCAACACTGATAATGTGACATGACAAACCCTACTGATAAAATAGATTTCTCTTTTCTCTTTGGATCACATAAATGTATTTTCCTTGTCAGATAGATGGCAAAATGGTATATTACCTATATCCATCTACCAGGTAGTAGGCGAACTAATTAGAATAGTTTAAAAGGAACTGTTCACAAAGTTACCTACGTATCATTCCAAAAGGTAAGGGAGCCAGGCTCCAACCTGTCTAAATTCAAGATGACCTTCCGTTACCTACGTAGTCATATTAATCCTTTATTTTGGCAATATGATAATTGTTTGAAGGTATTGTCCCAAGTGTCTATATAATAGGTAACAAAATAATTGAAAGTGAAAGTGAAGTAAACAAGTAGATGATGTGACTGTGCCATGAAAGTTAAACTAATATTAACTCACTTATGAATGTGTTTAGCAGTTCAGGAATTTATTTAGACAACTTACTGGGGTGAGTTTTGCGTTGTCATTTCTTAATTTCGACTCCAAATCATCAGAAACTATGTAGGAACAACCGAATAACTAAATTAGAACTTCTTAACTCAGAACTAAATTAAAAATTTATAGGTTATGATTAGCAAAACAACATAAACATAACCTTCACAATATTACAGTGACAGTTTTGATTTTGTCTGATAGATGGCGGGTCCATTACCATACCTTTGTATATATAATCTATATACAAAGCTCATACACTTATTTTGGTGAATTCAAACGATTTTGGTTTTTTTCAATATTGACAAAGAATACAAGAGTACACAGAAGATCAGAAGTGGCATTTTCGTTTCACGTGAAATTTTAGAACTTACCCTGACCGCCAGAGGGCGATGGCAGTACGATGTCAGTATTTAATGTAATTATCAACAAAATTGAGTAGCTAGCAATCATCCAGTCGGCCAAATCATATCGAAGTCGGGATGTAGGTCACAAAATTAAATGAAATTGAAAAGCCGACTGGTTTGTCAGTGCCTGCCTTCCAGTTCTGTTGTCATCGTACTGCCATCGCCCTCTGGTGGACAGGGTAAGTATTAAAATTTTTACGTGCCACTTCTTTTGTACTAGGTAGATACCGACAAGTTTATGTTTTTTTTGGAGGGATTAAAAAGTCTATATTTTAAATTTTGTTTTATGAAGAAATTGAAGTTGTTTTGTAGTTCCAAACAGCTTCATCGGTGGTTGAGCAATTTTTGAATACAAAATATTTTAAAACTGAGTGATGTCTCTATTCTACGTGATAAATAAAATCTCAAAATGGAGTTTCTTTCAAATTTTTTCCAATATATCGTCGATATGCAATATGTTCTGAAATTTTCTTGAAAATTTTTTTCATCTGGTAGAATTGGAGTCTTGACAGTTTTTGAATTGATCATACTATATCATTACACATTTTTCTTGCTTTTAATGATTTATTGATACAGTACTAACAACAGATAGAGTTCTTCAGTTTTGGTGTGTGAAACGTGTATTAATTGATTGAGTGGGAAGTAAAAGTTATTTAAATTCAAATTATTGATGAGCTGGATTCATGGAAACACTAGATGCGTAAAATTCAGTTTAATATTGTGTATAGTTTTTCATTAAGCGCTTCTTGAGTTTAAATTTTAATAAAATAAAGTGTATGTGAGATATCATCCAATTTTCCATGACTTTAGCGCTTAAATCAGGCCGATTTTGACCGGCGGCATGAGTTATGTTGGCTTTGAAGACCGTTGTAGTTTGTGGCTTATTCGATGAAAATTATTGTCATTTGTCAACTGCTCCAGTGTCCATTCAGCGAACACACGTTGTGATCTGCGAAAGGCAGAGTTCTAATGAGCGATGCGAAATCGACTGCCTCTGATTTTCCTGCACACTCTCACAAACAGCGGCGATATTTTCGGCAGATCTTGTTCAGTGTTTTTGGTGGCTTCATCTCCCAGTTATTCAAGTATTTCTGCGTTGAATTAATCATATGTCATTATGTTACAGATAATCGCATAAAAGAATCGAAATAACGATGTCTATGGAAGTTGAGACCGATCATGAACGAGCTGATGAAGCTGAAGAAGCAGCTGTTGCTGGCGAGGAGAACATAGATTGGGAGAAAGATGAAATTATCAGTTTCCTAACGTACAACCAAGAAATTTGCTTCAAAAATCAACAAAGGTGGGAAGCTGATTTGACAATCCACGAAAAATATGAGATTGCTCTCAAACTGCTCAAAGAGAATAAATTGCAATTTCTAATGAAATTTGGAAAATACTTGAAACAAAATCAATTGGGGTACTTCGAACAATTCACCAAAAATTTCGAGCCAGATTCGATAGAAATCAAAGTGGTACTCGATGATCTTTATGAAAGTTCTTCGGAAAAAAATTCTTGTAAAAAAGTAAAGAATCGAAGATTCGAGGCTTTGAAGGAGATGGTCGAAAAAAAATCGTATTTTTCTGAAATAGAAATGATGAAGCGAAATCCTCTCTTATACGAACAACTTGTTGGGCAGTATATGACAGCAGATGAGGTCAAAGAACGGGACAAATATGTGGAGGGAGAACAAACGCTTGTGACAATATTAATGGAGGGAATTGAACGACAAGACGTTGAATTATCCAGAAAGAAACAAGAAGAAATTGAAGACAGTCAAATGGAAGAAGAAGAAGAAGAGGACACTCCAGATGAAAGTGATAGTAGACCACCTACTCCGATTCCATCGACATCCAGATGGGGAGAATTTGAGGAGGATAAGGTATATCGACCCAAACCCAAATCTAAACCGAATTATGTGAGCGCAACGGAGAAGATACTCCTCCAAAAAGAATTTGTGTCATCAATGTATCAAAGTTTTTTAGATGGTAAAGATAAGGAATTTGATTATGAAACTGTCGATAATAACTCGTTATATGATAATATAAAGGAGATGGATAACGACGCAGAAGAGAAGTACTTTGCTACCGATGATGTGGAAGATAACGAACACGTTGAAGATAATGTGGAGAGTTCTGAAGATGAATTGGACATTTATATGAATGCATTGAATCAGCATCCCACTGTTTGCCAGTTGTCCAATGATATGAAAAAGTTATAATCACGTCTGTGCTAATAAATAACATGAAAGAATGGTAAAATGCAGAATGATTTTTATTGTTGTTTTCCAGAGAACTTGAAGAGGTTCTCAAATGTCCATCCTTTCACTTTTTTCATAAATGTGATGCAGATGGTTTTCCATTGAGTATGGCCAAATTGAGGCGCCGAAAAGTACGAATGACCCGGACAGTTTTCATCTGAAACGTAATGAGTGAAGGTGTAACTATAACATACAGCATATCGAGTGGTCCAACGAAAAGTATGCACCTTGCTTTTCTCCTTTTTTTGTAACTTTACGCAAAAATGCTCGGACAGGTCAATTTAACTTTTGAGGGGGGCACATTTTAGATGTATTTTTCTACCTGTGCCTTCAACCCCCAGTGAGGGTGAGTAACAACCCTAAAATTTTAAATGGAAAGTAGGGTCAAGTGATATCATTAGGAAGGGCACAACATTCTCTTTCCAATGATACCTAATTTGTTATATTTACTTGAATAGTTATAAAAAAAGCAAGAATATTTACTCGATATTTTTGGTGTTAATGAAAATGCGGAATAAACGGCATTTTTATCACTACTACATTCCTCAATTTCTCTCGAGCGTTTTTTGGTTCAAATAACAACAGCAGATAAGTGTACAAAAAGAATTTAGGCAAACGGTAATTGATTCAGTTCGGTTGCTTTTGAAATTATTTCAACTATACTGTAAAAATGGTTTATTCCATTCCTGAACGAGTTGAAGTTCTTGAACTTTATTATCAACATAATAGTTGTGCTAGACTTACTGCTCGCCTCTTTAATAACGTTGTCGTACGTTGCCAAGTTAGTCCAAAAGTTTGTCGATACCGGATCTGTCTGTAATGTGAAACACCAGCCACGGAAACCGATCAGAAATGAAGCAGTGGAAGTCGCTGTTTTGGGACATGTTGAATTGGATCATACTCAAAGTACCCGTCAGCTTGTTGCAGCCTCAGGTGTCTCCCGTTCGTCCATAATACGGATATTAAAAGCCTATAAATTTCATCCGTACAAACTTAAATTAATACAGGAACTCAATGAAGATGATCCTGATAGAAGGCTGCAATTTGGTGAACAACTGAGCCAGCTACTAATTGATGATCCGCACCTATCATTCAACACGTGCTTTTCCGATGAGAGTACATTTTTTTTGTATGGAGCTGTGAATAGGCATGATTGCCGTTACTGGGATGACAGTAACCCACACTTATTCCGAGAGGTCCATACCCAGTACCCTCAAAAAATCAATGTCTGGTGTGGCATATTAGGTAGTCATATCGTAGGGCCACTTTTTATTCCTGGGAATTTAACTGGTGAGGTCTACCTGAACATGCTTGAAGATACAATTGATTCTCTCATAACAGAAATAATTGAAAATAACCAAAATCATAATGATGATCGGCTTCATTTCCAGCAAGATGGAGCACCTCCTCACTATGTTGCTCCGGTAAGAGAGTTTTTAGATGACCGGTTTCCTGGACGGTGGATTGGAAGGAGAGGCCCCATCGAATGGCCTGCCAGGTCACCTGATTTATCGCCTTTAGACTTTTTCCTTTGGGGACACTTCAAAAATAAATGTTTTGCTACGCAGCCCGAGTCCATAGAAGATCTTTGCCAACGAATTACAGCAGAGTGCAGAAGTATAACACCTGATATGCTACAGAATGTTAGGGATAGATTTGAACAAAATCTGTATTATTGTATGGAAGCAAATGGGTCACATTTTCAGCACTTGCTGAAGTAGGATTCTACTAAGTCAATTACACATTTCAAAGTACTGGGTTGTAGTTGTTTTTCTTCATAATACCTACATGTTTGAGTGAAATACAACAAATTAGGTATAATTGGAAAGATAATTTTGTGCCCTTTCAAATGGGGTCACTCGACCCCACTGTCCTACTATTGATCGACTTTAGCAAAGCTTTTGATACATTGAATCATCAACTACTTCGATCTATATTACATTATAATGGACGTTGTCAAAGCACTTTGAAATTTTTCGATTCATATCTTTCACATAGACAACAAATTGTTAGAGTGGAGAACCAAATGTCAGATTTCAAAAATACTTCTTCAGGTGTCCCACAGGGCTCAATCCTTGGACCTGTCCTCTATATAATTTACACCTCCCATTTGACAACCTGTTTGAAAAAACTCAAATATCATATAGAATGCATTTCACTGGACAAGCTACGTCAAAACACCACAACAACGAACTTGAAAAAAAATTCTTTGTTTTTGTGTTCAATAAATGAATTTTCATCTTAGGAGATGTCTTCGTGCCGTTCATTAATTCTTTGTCGAAAGCATCGTTCAGCGGAACACCATAAAAAAGTTTTTCGGTAAAGTTGAAATACCATGATGATCCGAAGACATAATTCAGTTTACTTTGTATCACAAGCAGAAAGATAATTGGGCCTATAAACAATAGTCGACAAGAAGTGGTTAAATAATTATTATAGCTGTTCGGAGATCAGGTTTAGGACCACAGGTGGTCGCACCTCACTGAACGTTTCTCCTTTCTTTTACCTACCGCCAACAATCGACATTAATTTCTTCATCACTTTTCGGCTTGTTTGTTTGTTAACGATGTGTAACTGCAGTGACAGAGCCAAGAAAACTTTTTCTAAACGTTCATACATCGACTCCACTGAAGTCCACAAAATGTGAGGATGTTTAACTAAAACATATGATTGAAATTTGGCTTTGCACTTAGAAAAATTGAGTTGCCTCCGGAAATTTCTAAAAATGCCACTGAAATACGTTGTTCAGTTTCAAATTCCATACCTTTTCACGAAATTTCAACCCTGGTTGATATTTCAACATTTAGACAGGCATAGTTAACAATACACGTTATTGACGTATAGAAAATTGAAGATATGATAAGACTGACGAAATTCAGTGGAATCTTTGACCCTTATTTTTCCCCCCTTGAGAGTGGAAATTCCTTATTTCCTTTCTTAATGCTTATTTACGCTATACAAAGAACCTACCTGCATATTTCAAGATTCTAGGTTCAGTAGCTTCGGCTGTACGTTAATATAAGAGTGCCAGTCAATCAATAGGTACCCACACTCATATAATACTAGCTGTTCCCCGCTGTTTTACCCGCGTTACTGTGAGAACCCACCATATGTGTTATTCCAGGTCATGAACTATCTATATACCAACTTACATTTGAATCCGTTGGGGTGTTTAGGCGTGAAAAAGTAAAAAACGTAAATACATACATTACATTCATCCATCCTCACAAACTTCACACATTTATAATGTTAGTAGGAGTATGATTACCAATTCACTTCATTCTAATCATTTCATTTTTTTTGCTGATGCTACTCAATATTATATAAGCGGGTACCTATTGATTGACTGACACTTATAATTGATTCTCTTATTATGATTGATTCGGCCGTTACTTGATGAAGATCCATTGCTGTTGGTAGTACCTCACTATTACCTGTTATTGTTCCTACGCTAAACTACCTATTAGAGGTAGTTTAGCACAGAAACAAGAACAGGTAATAGTGAGTACCTCAAAATAACAGGTAATAGTGAGTACCTCACTATTACCTGTTATTGTTCCTACGCTAAACTACCTATTAGAGGTAGTTTAGCATAGAAACAAGAACAGGTAATAGTGAGTACCTCACAATAACAGGTAATAGTGAGTACCTCACTATTACCTGTTATTGTTCCTACGCTAAACTACCTATTAGAGGTAGTTTGGCATAGGAACAAGAACAGGTAATAGTGAGGTAGCGTAGTCAGGAGATCATTATCACTAAATTTCAATACATTGGACAGCAAGCCAAGATGGTTAAACCTCTGAAGAAGCTAGCCACTCGCGCCAGCGAAACGTCAGTAAGAAATTCCAAAAATCCACGGCTTTCAAACTCGAAAAACAGTGACACTGAAAATCTCAGCCGCGAAAGTCTAAACCATTTTGTTGTTTGTTGGTGGCCTAACTTCTACCTGTCAGTATTACCTGTCTATTACCTGTGTAGATGTATTTCACTACTACCTGTGACGGTTCCTATGCTAAACTATAGATTATAGGTAGTTTAGTGTAGGAACAATAACAGATAGTAGTGAGGTAATACTAACAGGTAGTAGTTAGGCGACTAGCATATAAAAATACTAACACAATAGTGAAATTTAGTGATAATGATCTCCTAAGGACGCTAACTTAGTTGTCGCCAGTTGTCCTAGTTATATACCATATACTAGTATATACTAGAACTATATAAAATCAGATAGGAAACACTACCACTAAAATCTATCAAGAAAAGTCTGTAATTGCCCATCTATCACTTAATCTCCTTTCCCAAGTGAAAACAAGTATAATCAGAATGTTTTTATTATCTTTGTAAATAAAATATCACAGTCAACATATATTGTTTCTCAAATATAAGAGATAATCGTTACATTGCCGAAGTCACAATTTCAACAAGAATGGCAATAATCTCCAAGACATGAACAGTGAAAGTTAAAACTGATAATAGAAAATATACGAAAACTTCTCTCAATAAGAATATATACAAGGATATGCACTTCAAATAAACATATAAAAAATATGTTCCAATACTCAGGAGTGTCATTATTTTATTATATTCATATAGATATTCAGATGAACTTTCAAGTTATTTTCTTGAAGTAGGATTTTCCTGAAAGAAACAAATTAGAGATTAGAATTATTAGTCACTTTTTATTTTGTATAAACTTTTGATTTCAGACCAATAACAAATAAAATCAACACATATCTAATTAATAAAAAAGATAGTAACTATTGTAGGTTTGTATAGAGGACATAAGTCGATTCATTTTCTGCGAATGGTTTTGTTTATTAATCGCTTTACTCTCACGAATCTAAAGCACCAGATGAATACTTTAAAAAATAGAAAAGTTGATGTTTTTTTTGGATTTATAAAGCAGAACCACTTTTTAGGAAAACCTAAGTTTTTAGCAGGCTAATGACAAATATGTTGTTTACGAACAACATTATTCTTAAGACAATTCAGTTTTGGGAACCAAAAAGAGCAGCTCTCTTCAAGCTGCTTCAATATTGTACAATCACAATCATTGTTATTGAAATGTAAGTTGAATGGATTTCATTCAATATACGATTAGAAAGTATCTTTAAAAGTTTTTATTTTGTTCAAAATATTATAAATAGACTTTCAAAGACCTAGTTAGTATAAATAGAAATGACTCAAGAGCTAGCTCAAAAAATGTATTTTTATCTGATGAAATTAACAATGAAAATAACGTATATAACCTAACAAAAATATCACACAAATGCTAACAAAAGTCGACACTAATGCATTACAGGTATCTGCTACAAACGTTTCAAAATGTATAAGCTTCGGAATACAGACACAATCGGCGATTGGCGCATTGATTTAGTTTCCGGTCTGAATGTTAGAGGTTTGTTTAAAATAATTAAGTAAATTCTCATTTTTCTCAAAAAATATTTACTTATTCATCAATGTCTATTCTGTTCCCTTCAAAGTAGTCTTCCACTTGTGCCAGCGGCTTTTCCAATCCGCGAAGCAATTACGAAATGTACTTTTTGGTATGTCTGAGCTTTCTCGGCGATTCGGTTTTCATCTCCCCAATCGTTGCAAAACGCCGCCCTTTCATAGGTCTCTCCAATCTTGGGGAAAGGAAAAGTCACAGGAGACCAAATCTGGTGAATACGGCGGCTGAGGCATAATTACGGTGTCGTTTTTGGCCAATAAATTACGAACAAACAGTGACGAGTAAGAAGGTGCATGCAAAAGCCATGGATGGTTTTTCCAACATACCGTACGTTTTCTTTCTATTGCTTCTCGTAAGCGTACAACCATGTGGCAAGAACTTCTGTTGCACTACGCTACAGTAATCGAAGAAAACAGTGAGACAAACTACACACATCGGAAAAGTCTAGGGATATTTTTAAAAATGGCAATAATTTTTTTAGATCGCTTTAGGGAAAAAAAGTTGACGGGTGATTATTAAACGAATGTAACTTACAACAAAATTTATTAAATGGTCAAAAATACTGAGTGCGCATATAAGCATTTTAGCCGAAAACCTACAGTTTGTAAAAAACTTGATAAAAGATTAGTTACCGTTTTTGCAGGCTTTGTTCAACCCATAGAAATCTACAGGGTGGTCGAGTATACCAATTTAATCGAAATTAAACGACCTCATGCATTTATTTTTATGATATTTAGTATGTTATAAAAATATCCCTAGACTTTTCCGATGTGTGTATTTGATACAACTTGGCGTCTTTTTTTGGTCTTGGCTCTTTTGGCTTTTTCCATTTGGATGATTAAACTTTGGTGTCGATGTCATAACTATATACCCATGATTCGCCACAAGTTATGACCCTTTAGGCAACTTCTTTGAAGGGTATTCGACGATTTTTCATAATAATTTTCTTCAATTTTTTAGCATTTTCATGCGTTGTTGATTTGATGTGGCGTCCAGGAACAGCGACATCATTCACATCTTCTAAACCTTCTATAAAAAGCTCGTGCTATTTGTAAACATTTTTCTGACTCAGGACACAGTCACCGTAGGTCACTGTCAACATTTTAAGTGTTTTTGATCACTTATTTCGCAAAACACTTCTAACTTTTATGCCTCTCGCCAACGTACTCCGCGATATTTGAACATTCACCTTATTCTTTTAACAAACCACGTATTGTTGATTGTTGTTATCCGTGTATCCTTCTTTTCTATTGTAACGGAACCAGTCAAGGCAAGAAATTAGATATTAATACTTCCTCCTATGTGCTCGTGTTGCTATTGTTATTTATTTAAAACTTTTTTTGTGTTATATCGAAAATCGAAACAATAACATTTTGCGACTATTAATATTGTCAGGCATCATAACGCATCAGTCTGGGCAATCACTGATATCTTTTATTACTCATATGTTGACAAAAAAGTGCATATGTACCTTGTTATCTCACTTCCAGTTCTGCCGTTAATTACGTGGATATTAAATGAAACTTACAGCACAACAACTGAGTTGGAAATAACATTTCACTGCAAAAACATTCCTTTATATCAGTTTGTTTCCGTTGTTGACGAAAACAAATCTTTGAATATTTATATTATTTTTCATAGAGATCAGCCGTGCAATAAAAGAAATTAACAAACTAATCAAAGGTGGACACCTGGATTTAATACAAACAAGTAAACACTTGATCATATTTATTCATGATCACACTCACATTACGTACGTACATTACGAACGTACATTACGTACAGCGTCATCTGCCCGCGAATACATCAAGCAATAATGCCGATAATTCTGTCAATACAGATCCCGAGCTTGAGAGTTACAAACAAACATACATGCAAACAAACATACATACATACATACGGGTGAAGCTAATATAAAGCGTGTAAAAAATAATATAGGACAGAAATGTCCGAATCTGCTTTGCAACATCTAAATCAAGATGCAGATGCAAGTGTTGTGGAATTGGCCGCGGTGGTAGTGCGCCCGACTCACGATCGGAAGATCGTGGGTTCGATTCCCGCCTCGACCAGACATTTTTCTCGAGAGAATTTATCTGGTTGAAGCGGGGATGATTCTGCAACCGTGTTAGGAATCACACGTTAAAAGGTAAGACCTAGTTAGTCCTTAGCTCGCACAAGTTTCTCAACTTCTGAGAGTGGTCGTTTGTATGGGGGCGACAGCTGATTAACGGAAAAACAGATTTTAAACAGAGAAATATGCTGTAATCACCTGGTGTCAAAAATATACGATCCACAGCAGTATTTGAATGGGAAAAAGCGATTTCAATGTGTCATTCAATGTGTATATCATTGTTCATATGATTGAAATAATTTGCCATGGTCGTATTTTTTCTTCTAGTGTGTAACTGAAGAAACTTCCTATATTTCTTCTACAAAGATGGAGAATTAGAAGGCCGAAAAGGTCCTGTCCGAGAGCGCAATATATATTTATTGTCTTCAGCCTCTAGAAACATTTTTCGGATTTGTTCAATACTGACCTGTCTACTTCGTTTGTGTCTAAACTAGAAATGATTTCCTAGAGAGATGATTGACGCTTCAGTTTTCTTTGATCCAAAGGGAACTTGAATTCTGCTTTAATTGATACAATCTAAAAATAAAATAATTCTACTCTTGTTTTTGAATTCATACTCATGCACCTTAGTCATGTATTATTGATGATTCGTTCTAATTCTGACGAGATGGACTTTCTCTCAGGATTTAATCTTGATAGCATCAAAAGAAAAAATTGAATGATGTTATTGAATTTCAGTCAACATGATTTGTAAGGGTAATGATTGGTCATTTGGTAATGAATAACTATTTGCACTCCACATAAGTATTAGTTATTTGAAGAAATGTACCAAGAGAACGAACAAAAAATATAGAACAGAAAAATCAGATGAAAGTATACAGGAATAAATACAGGCTGATTCACGGTGGATGGCACATTAGACGTTTCTGGTGAACCAGACAACGGATCACTTTGAAAATTTAATGGAGGGCATATTCGGACATTCTCTAGCCAACTAAAATATTTTCGACAATGCGGTGTTGCCGCTTCTATTAGAAAGCAGTAGCAACTTTGATTTTTCAAA